CAAAACTAAGATTCCGACCTCGTAAGCTATCATATATCTACTTTAGATCTTGTTAGCTCGTTTCGTTGTTAGGTGGTATATACGGATTATATGGTCGTTGCATCACTTATAGGGACCCCCGGGTATACACGTTCGCTGAACACCAGCCCCAACCACGAGAGAGTACAAAACGAGAAAGAGCATATACACTCCCACCTCTGAAGTGTCTTTAACACCTTCATGGCCTCCCTTCAACAGTTATGTTTGTTGTTTAACTGCGTCAGTGGTAACTCATTGTTTCATCAGTGCACCAACAGATCCTACTATACAAGCATTATGTAATGTTAGCTTAACATCATACCATACCAACATAAGATCATTCGATTATGCCTTACATTCTAGAGTAAAAGATTATACGTTGTTGTTGCTAGAGTTTGGGCGCAAGTGCAACCTCTAACACCCGAAGCGCTTGCTGCAGCGGTGTTGTCTGAGAACCTTCCGAAGTGAGTTATAACTATATATTACCCTCGATACCCCGTTAATTATAAGAAATATCGAGTTACAGATGCTACCAGAGAGGACTTGAGTAGTTTGTGGCTCACGAAACTGGCAGTGCAAGGCACAGAAAAACAGGGTAATTTGCAATGGTAGGTTCAAACTGTACCAACTGTACCAACTACTTTATCCAGACAGTTTGAACCGGTTTAACTGCTTGAACCTCGGTTTTATTTTTTGGCATACTCACCATGATAAATTAGCTCTTCACGTTCTCAAACAGGGTGGCGCTCGAGCTTTGGAACTGACGTGTTCGACCTCAGGAGCTGGGGTGTTCGAGCTCATGAATATGAGATGTTTAAACCGTTTAAACCATCGGTATAACCGGTTTTGTAGATTTCTAAACAAATCAAACCGTTTATTGAGGGCGATAAGAACTGCACCAACTACTAATTTAAACGGTACAGTTAAACCGGTTTGAACCATATAACCGGCAAACCACTGGAAACCCTGCACAAAAATCCCCAATCCAGTATTTGGTTGATCCCACCGCTGTTTGAAAGCCCAGAGGCCGCGTAGAACAGGAAAAAAGAAATAGAAGTTCGGCAAAGAGAAGGGTTAAACCAGGCCAGGTTAATTCAATGCAAGCGAAGATCCTATCATGAGCACTTTCAATTCTAATCAAGCCGGGTCATAGGTAATAACTCGTCCAATAACAATCCCCCGCAGGAAGAAAACAAGGAGAAAACGAGCACAACCAATAGATTTCGTGCCCCCGTTCGTTTGACTCTGAGTAGGGAGCTAGTAAGTATACTATTTTCAATCACGGAGAGCGGGAGGTGATATAGTCGGCCATAGTATCAATTCGGTAGCTAGCGTAGGAGCGCATCGCTAGCCATAGAGTGATCGGATATTTCTACTACGGCTAACTAGTGTGGCGGGTATCGTTGCGGAGCTGATAGGAATCAGAAATGGAGATTGGAAGTAGTATCGCCATAACTTTCAGGCTGCATGCGATTAATAGATTAGACAATTTATAAAGTAATTGCTGATTACCATTCAGGTCTCGGCCTCCTTCCTCTACTTATAGTTACACCTATTAGCTATATGTGGTCTCATCCTAATCTAGCTAGTTATATCCAACACACTATGTTCATCTTTACATCACTAATGCCTCCCTACACCCGGGCAGTCCCGCTAACCCTCCCCGCGAGAGCTTATATTATTTCGATCATGGAATATCACTCGACGATACTTCTTGACTATTACGCTTAATTCAATATTTATATACAAACCAGAGGTTACGATAGTATTTAGCACAACAGTTCGTCCGAGTCTCTCCCCCAGCAGCCGTGTCAAAATTAGGAATAAAATCAAAGTAATTTGAGTCATTCTACAGCCAATTTAAAGATATCATACCTGGCTTCTTTTAATGAACTCACAATAAATGATCGCCATTCTGTCTATACGTACTCCATCCCTACAGCTAGTATCCTGTCCAGCAGTTCAGCCGCTTTCTTTAGTTTTGACATTCTGTACCTGCAAGTGTTCTTTTCCTCATATACCATTCCTCGAAATTGAGGGGGAGGCGCAATGTAGGTACCACTGTTGGGGAATAAGGTTTGGGACGATGATAGTCTATGGGAGTGGACTAATGGGAACGAAAAGGTGAGTGGTCTGGAGAGTCGACTGGCGTTGCGATTTTTTTCTTTTTTCTCTTTTTGCAGTGGGCGAATGTGTGAGGTTTGCTAGAAATAACAAAGTAGAACCATACTCTCACACTTGCCTTGGAAAAATTTACTCACCTGAGAATCCGCTTACCACCCAGAAACTACAAACGAACCACGTAACACCACAATATCTTCCCAAAATTCCAAAGCACAATTGGCAGTCCATAACCATGTCCCCAAAGACGTGGATATGATATTTCAACGCTTTATTTCATCCCCGCTCTTGGACAAAGAACGCGTGATGTGGTCGGGGTCCGACTTTTCATATGTTATGTTGGGACCCATCGGTATAATTCACCTTCCCGAACCCCTTATAATAGCTATGATGGGATGTCTCCCATCGCAGATTCAAATCATCTCCAGTTGACCACCTGCCATATCCCTTCCATATTAACATTCTAGTCACGGGGGTCAGTCATGAGCTATCACTCGAGATCGCCTTGTTTTATTTTATATTTTATTTTTTTATGTTTTTTCTTTCTCTCCTTCTTGCAATTCGTTAGTCTCTTCTCCTGCTAGACCATCTAAGCCTACGCATACATTTGTTCAAGAAATTACCACTAGTACCCCACCTAGTTCATCCTGCAGAAGGCGCCTTCTTCTCGTTTAAACTGGTCTACCAGTGAAGGAGCAGGGGTGGTCAGAAGGATCTTATAGTTCATGCTGATCTGGTACTCTACCACTGAACTCTGATCCGATCGAGTTCTTTGCCCAGTCTCCCTAATTTCAAGAGTTTCTGGACATGCGGCATTGAGGCCCCTCTATGTAAACATTCCGACAAACTAAGTGGGGCGGTCGCCGGTCGAGGAGCTCGCCAGCTCAACCCTAACCCTGAACTGTGAGTTCTTCACATTGAGAGTACATATATACAAACTGCCTAGAGAATTACGCGGAGGCAATCAAAGTTGCGGTTGTGTTAATCCCATGGGTTCTATGGGAGGAGTTCTATTGGCTTTACCAATTATAGAAAACCTTTTTAGACCTTTGTTTCTTCATTTCGCTGTATTCCTTCGAGTATCGACGAGCTTCCGTTATTGGAATGTGCATGCGGTGACTTCTGTATCCCGCATCAGGAAAGTAGCGAATCTGCATGTCTCACCAGCCCACGCATCTTTCTGGTCGCACGTTCGTGATTTGATGAAGTGAAAAACTGGCAGGAACAAGATAGAACTGAAAAATAAACGAGAACGATAGAACACGCGCGCATCAGCGTAGGGTGTACAGGAGAAATCATGAAATCCCAGATTCTCAACCAAATGTCGGGTTTTGCTGTAATTTAGTAGGACGCCGACATGACGCTGCGTTTAGAGATATTCTCTATTCCCATGGAATCCTAGCTGTATATTTCTACCCCTAGCTCTGAGGTATCGACAACCTCCGTCGGACCAGGTGGGATGACGTCGGAGCAAAGCACCGGCGACTGATTCCCATCATGTATGTACTAGCTCCGACGGATATTTCCTCTTCGCCTGAAGCCCTAACGTGAGTTCATCGTCCAAGCCCGGTGTTCAAGCGTAAGCTACGGGATTAGGAGAAGCCCTAAATGCGATCCACTATAAGTTCGGGAAGATTAGACACGTGAAATTAACTTGTCCTAGTACTCTCACTCTCATCACCGGAATAGGTTGAGTATGATATTAAGTATGTCCCCTGCCGCTTTAACGTCGATAGCTGCAGACTGGGGTGAGTGAGGGTGGAAATGGGAGTCGGGAGTCGTCCGCACAATTACTGTCTCGCCCCCCCCCACCCCGGTAACCATATTTCCTATTAACTACAGTATATCAGGCACAAACGTCGAGCGTTAGATTCACTTCAGCTTGAAAATCTATAGGATCCAGTGCTGCACCGCACTCGGTACATTGAGGTTCATCTATCAATGAAGCGAAAGGGTCTCAAGTAGGTGGATGTAGATAAGTATCCATCCGTCGATTCAGATATGAGGTAGGGGTTGAGGTAGGTGCACTGTAAGTGGTTGGGGCGCGTAAAGTCCGACATCGTTTGCCAGCGACATTGCGCCAGGGATTTGGCAGAATAGCATTTCGTATGGGATAGGAAAACCCCGGGATAGAAAATATGTTTCTTGATATCAGTATCATACCGGGCTGGGACTATCCCTTGGGGCGGTGAGACACGCAGATTCCAGGACTTCCGATCTCAGTAGTGGTTTCCGGTTGCGGGGACCTCACTAAGCCTGGTGATTAATCACCAAGCCACGCTCTATCATTCGAGGAAACCGACGCAGGGATCCGCTGACAAAAGTGGACGTGTCACATTTGGGAGCCGAGACATACAAAGCGTTCGTCTTGGCGTACCCCATCTTTGCTGATGTGTTCGTGTAATGGGGGTCTATGGACGTAGGGACTATAGTGCCAAGGAATACAACCGAGGCGAGAACGTGGCAATAGGTATTCGAGACTATGGACTATGGAGTGGCTCTTCCTAGTATGACTAACTAGTTGAACCCTATGACGAGGCGTAGAACAAAGCAGTATTCGTGGAGTACATACAAGAGGTTCCATGAAGAGAAGAGGAAAGGAAGGAAAACATGAAAAGGCACGAGACAACACCCCTTTATATATCCAACTCCTAGTCCGTTGATGACTAATATCTTGCGTAACGGAAACCGAAAGAACATAACAGAAAACCCATTACAAATCATAGTCCAACTGCGCGATTCCTTCTCTTCACAACCCAATCTATCACCTTAGCCGAAATGTAATATTGCCGTCACAGTTCGAAGCGCGGTAGCTCATCACGACCATATACTGTCTCTATAGCTATCAGGTAGCATTCACCATGGAGACTTACGCATCAAACATATCATCAATGACCGAATCAAATGGCACAGACAAGGCAGATTTGGACGATGCAGAATTAATCTCAAGCGATGATACAGTCGCTCCAAGCACATACGCTCCAAGTACATCCGCGGATTCCGAAGTACAAAGACCAGAGAGCGCCGGCTCTAGTACATCTGTTGAATCGCTGGAAGATGATATGGACAAGAGAGGTTTGTAAACGCGATACCGAGGACAGAATGGAACGATAATGTGATTTAGCTCGGGCGTGGCAACGTCAACGTATTCAGGAACAACGAATGAGGGAATTTCGTCGGCGACCCGCCAAACAGCTCTTTGGCTTGCATCAATATCCAAAGCGAGATCTATAAGACATAACCAGGTCTTGGAATCCTTCAAGGGAATACTCCGGAACCCTGAAGAGCGGCGCTCCATAACTCTAGAGTCGGTAACAAAGCTCGATGACGAAGCACACGATAGCTATCATGAGGGAGATTTCTTTAGATTTGTTGGTTTTACTCTGCAAGCTCATCTGGGGGACGCCAAAGCACGCATGAACAAAGCAAGCTTTATGGAATATCTTGAGGGGTACGATAGGAGATAGGTTGAGGAACGGCAGCTAAAATTAGCGGAGGTGTTCTGAAAACTGCAGGAAGGAGGTGATGATGTCGGGTTTGAACCACTCGAGAAAATGTATGAAGCGCAGCGAGAGGAGGTATCCAGAAAATTAGGAGCCCTTCTGAAGGACTCTGGGTCTTTGAACCGTGCGCACTTGCGAATCGTCGTTGACCCAAACATGTTTCCATGGGAGCACTAGCTTACTGAGAGAGGATCTATGTATTTCATATGTTGTTCTAATATACCTTCTCTATATATGCAAGGCTAAATGTATGAAACTTACTTGGGAACCGCGGGAGGGGCAAGAGCCTTTTTAGCATATATAGCCGTACATATACGTAACGTAAAACCTTTTCGGCGTGTATAGACTATATTTGTTTATATGTGAAGATCTGAATCGTTCGAATATAACCTCCTTCCCGTCGCTTCTGATATTCGAAAGAGGCCTCCACTACTCGCTCAGACGCGCTCCTCGCCCCCGCTGAGAAGCGAAATTATCCCATTAAAATTAATCGATTAATTAATCGATCAAGCAGAATTATCTGGTTCGTTGGGAGGCTGCTGTGCGCCGTTCCCTGCGTACCAGTGACAGAACCTTATCTTATGGTACACAGATACTAGGAGCCTGCTAACTCGCCACGGCGAGGTGTAGGTTGGAGTAAGTTGAATACAAAGCATGCTTCAATTGATGGGGGCTTTGGCCCCCCCCAGAACCTCCCGCCCGCCTCCTGCTCCAGTAATGAATGGCATCTTTTTCTTCCAGCTAATGTTTTCTTTGAACCTTCGGGATCGAACTTGCGGTTCCCTGTGGCTTTTCTTTTTGATATATTTGGTTTCCAGGTCCTCCGCTGCAGCGTATTTGTTGTGATATGCTGACTAAACCACCAAGCCTAACATATCCAATATGATTACTCATAAAGAAGGGCCAACACTCCAGCCTTGTTTCCAAGCACGATGGGGCACCGATCTAATTACCCATTACACTGTTGAGAAGTCGGTACGGTGCACAACGAAGAAATGCCACCTACTTTCTTACATTTCGAGCAACTGAAACTGGTCACGGAATTCATCGACGGAGGCTACAAGCATAGGATCGCTGAAGAACCACTAAGATGCGAAACCTGGATTCGGGCCGGAATGCTTGGAGAAGGCACATTTGGCACGGTCTATAAAGAGACTTGCTCAGAGACGAGGGATGTTCGGGCTGTGAAACAGATCAAGAAATCGTTCGCTAGACCAAATGAACTTGCAATCTTAGCACAACTTCGCTCGGTAGCTATTCCCTACCTGTTTCCGCTCACTCCACGTAAGACTAAATCGGCTTTTAGTATCCGGAACACTTCGTGCGCCTGGCAGGATGGTTCGAGGATGAAAACAACATTTATTTGGCGATGGAATACCTCCCAGGTGACCTTGGTGTACTGCTCAGGGAACAGGACCTATCTGAGAATGACACAAAGAGGATTACAAAACAAATTCTTGCGGGCTTGGAAATAATGCATAAAAAGGATATCTGTCACCGGGACCTAAAGCCCAGTAATATCTTGATCGCTAAGTGGATGCCGATTTCAGTAAAGATCGCCGACTTTGGCGTTTCTAAGCACTTCGATGGTACCGAAGGGCGGACAGAAACTGGGACGAGACCCTTCATGGCACCGGAGGTTTGCGGCTTCTGTGAAAGCAGTGTATACACCACAGCAATCGACATGTGGTCTTTGGGATGCTTGGTATATTTTATGATGACAAAGAGGACACCATTTCCGGAGCCTAGGAACCTGGTTGATTTTATGAAAGGCCAGGGAAAATTTCCACAAAGCTCCGCAATACCATACTCCGCGTTTGAGTTTATAGCAAGTCTGTTACTGCCCTTACCTGAGGCTCGAGCTCCCGCATCAAAGGCTCAATTGCATTCATGGCTGGAAATCAAAGAGCAACATGAGACTCTATGGACGCCTCTATCCCCTAATCTGTGCGACGAACCGGCTCTTACAGCCGCGCCTCAGCTGGTCACCGGGGCCGGAAAGGATCCAGTTCTTGGATCAAAACGCAAGTTGGCTCTGCCTCCTCTGGCTCCGAAGAAGCAGCCACGCCTTTCAGGTCCCCGTAAGGGAGGAGGTATGTTACAAACAGTTTCGAGGAGCTCTATCATGCTGAACAAAATTATTTACTAATCAAAGTTGTAGAGATGATTCAAGATGCATTTGTTGCTGCGGCTGAGAGTGGCAATCGCGAGCTACTTACGGCGCTACTGGAAAGGGGGGCAGATATCAAGGCAAGAGATTCTAGAAACGAGAGCGCGCTTTTCCGGGCTGTGCGGGGGGGCCATTTGGAAACAGTGCAACTACTGCTTGATCGCGGTGCTAGTATCTCTGGACATTTTGGGACTGAGGGGTGGACTATTCTAAATATCGCTGGATGGCATGGGTATTTCGACATCGCATTATTACTACTAGACATGGGTGCTGACGTTAATGGATTGAAAACGGATAATGGGTGGAGTTCTTTACAACTGGCGGTGGAGAAGAACTATTTCGAACTGGTAAGCCTCCTACTGGACAGAGGAGCCGATATAACGCACAAGGATTTCCAGGGTTGGAGTGCCGTTCACAACTCTGCACAAGGGGGTTCTATTGAGTCATTAAGGATACTGAAAGATAGGGGGGCGGACGTATCGGAGGGAGCTGGGTTAAATGAGTGGAACGCGCTACATATTGCTGCGTCCAACGGTCAAATGGATGTCATGAAGTTCCTTCTAGACACAGGCGTTGACATCGCAGCAAAGGCGATCTATGGGTGGGTTGCTTTACATTGTGCAGCGTGGGAGGGTCAGTTGGAGGCGGCACGCCTGTTACTGGAAAGTGGTGCGAGTACGACAACAAGAGACATCCATGGCAACACAGCAATATCTGTAGCGATTTCCAAAGGACACACAGATGTTGTACTTCTGATCGTGGATTGGGTCAAAAAAGATACCACGCTACCTTCAACCGCGCTGAATAACCTCAAGCTCTCCACAGACCGAATGCAGGACTCTACTCAGGCCAGTAGCGGGGATGAGTCTACTACCTCCTAAAGCCCACGATGGACACCACCGAGTTGTGGTATTCGTGGGGATATAAGCTTAGTATTGCTTCAATATCTATTTCCGTGCAATTTTTGACGCCATCTGAAACGTTACTCAACCACCGGCGCATGCACTACATCAATTCCATACTCCTCCGGGAACATTTCTCTACGCCGATCTAATCATCCACGCTTTCTCGACTTGTTTACATCTTTCGGTTGCCCCCCATATTTACGAGCTGCTACACGAATCGATTCTCTCTGCTCTTATTGTCCGCTCTCACCTTTGGTTTGCTCAGTTAGATATTTCATTGTTCTCATATTTCATACTCCTTCACTTCTCGCCGTAAATGTCCTTTTATTTGCCTCCTTTCATATTTTTTTTTCATTTCATTAACGCTGTCATTTTCTACATGTTTTCGGAATTGGGCGGTGTTTGCGGGATGGTTGAATTTTCGGGCGTGGGAGGGTGCAATACATTTTGGTTCTTTTGTATCAAGGATATATCCACAGATCAAATGGCCACCTTCTTTCCTTCTCCATCCCTTTCTCATTTGATGTCGTCTTGATCAAATTAAATTCATGATGGTTGAGTCCTAAAGTGATTTACCGAGGGGGTCTCAGTACGGATAGATCCTGTTGTGGATCACCGACCCGCCCTGAGATGTTCATGCGCAACATATATATCTATACGGAGGAAATGAGATATAAAAAGGATCATGAGCAGTTAAGCTTTCTCATGGAACGCTCCGGAATCGCAAAATGACAGTTATTTGATTGCAGCCACGGATATGATCCATATAGGAAGTCTGCGTGGCGGGGGATTTCATCAGTTGATTCTGGGCAGCTGGTACCCCATACACTTGTTGATCACTTAGAGGCACAACCGCCAGTTTATGGTGGGAAAGAGATGATGTTCGATTTCAGTGACGGATTGATGTTCTATCTACTGTAGAGAAGAAAAAATGTAAACAAAGAAAAGGGGGCTGTGGGTTGACACTATTACATGCAACGCGGGCGAATGCCTTCCTCCAAGAACAATGATGTCTAGGGATAACTATGCGGGGCTGTAGCCCTACTGGTGACAATATCCCCAGCTTGTAGCGTAGCTTCGAATCCAACCAATCCTCTCCTTCATCGCCCCCCCCCCCCCCCCCTTCCCCTTTTCTCCTGTCAGTAGTCCCTTCGATATCCCAAGCCTCAAGGAGTACGCCGCTCATTCCGCCATCCCTCGCGCCACACAGCGGGCGGGGATCGGGGATCTGACCTCGGTAGCACGAGGCGCACTAATGTACATAATATCATCCGTAGTCCACTCCTAGCGATCGGATCAAGGGTATGTGTGTCGGTGCGACGTGCTGTATTATGATCTCCGCCCGTGTGCTCCGCGGCGGTGCGCGTGCCCATCCCGTCGTCAACCATGGGATCCGTGTGCGCTCCCTGTTGTTGTGATGGTTGTTAGCAATCTTTCCCGGTGGAGGAACGCGCAAAGACGATCACTCAGTTAGGGTTGGAATTAGAGCGATTTGGCCAACGACTTCTGAACCTAAATATTTGATTCTTGGCGACAGTTTTGGTGTGAAAATCCCGCCAAGACCTCAAAATTTGAAAAACAGGGATTGGCCTAATCCCTCTATTATCATTAAAAAGGACCAGGAGGCCCGTGGATAGATTCAGGATAGGTGACTAGAGATCCTCCCGTCTGTTGCCGACGCGCGTGGTAGGAGAAGGTGCGAATGTAAGGATATGGGTTAGGAATACCGCCCTACGCAAGGAGTTGGTATTTGCTGTGGTCATGTCTTTATGAATGTTCGCGATCGCTCTATCAAGGGCGTCGAGGGCCGAACGCGGGAGAGCGCCAGGACGAGGTGTACGCTGTCAAAGGTGAAGAGCGCCAGAGGTGCTAAGCGGGGAAGGCAGGGTGGATTCGCGCTGTTGGAGGTGGAGTTTGAGCCGGTTCTCTCTTATGTCGTTACTTGACCGCTGTCAAGTTGTTTTGGTGGGGTTCAGGGTGATGGAAGCAGGTCCATGCGATAGTACCAGTTTTGATAGATACCGTGTGATCTCCCCGCCCTTGGGGGCATTAGTTACTGGGTGTGATTTGGGCTTTTGTGGGGGCGGACCTTGGAGGAAGGCTAGACCAGCAAGGGTCGGTGGTGGATGGCGGGGTAGGAGCGACATTGTGAAGACATAGCTACTCTAGTGAGTAGGGTTTGTCTGTGGTCCCTGGCTTGGCGGGTGCCTAAAGAGAATCTGATAATAATGCAACGGATGAGATAAGCGAGGCGTTGTTGAGCTCTCGACCAATCAGACCGCAAAGTCCTACGAGGGTCGTCAAGGCAGTGCTCTATCTTTGAAATAGTCAGTACAGAGCCAGGCATGGATAGGGCCCCGAGAACACCCATCAGCTACGGTGATGAGATCGAATGCTCTGAGTCTCAATAGATGGCGCAGAATACGAGCGTACATATCTCTACAGTCGCTACATTTCTGGTAGGGTTAGGGGGGCCCTGCAACCCCACAACCCGCTTATCGATAAGGCATCCTAGCACCACCCACGAAGGCTGAGACAGGGTCAGGGTTACGATGCCACTAGGAAGAACCGTCCCCCCCACGCACCCACAACTTCTCGCTCCATTTCCTTGCCTCTACTACCACGGACAGCCGCCGTGTCTTGAAGGAATCAGGAAATTTGACTGACCTCGTACCCAGTCTAGTATTTGTGGTTTCTATGCCAACACTTTGGGGATGGGGTCGAGCTCAGCAATTTGACCTCGGAAAATCCACAAGGCTCTCGGAGGCTTGTCATGTGGTGGGCGCGCTAGTTGTCATTTGCCTCCGATTGAATGAGCGATCCATTCGGGTGGGTGGCTTGCATCTTCGCCTAGCTAGGAATTACTCCCTCCCCCGGCCACACCCTGCCGTGTGGTTAAATTTATTACAGGAAAGGACACAACTACAGAAGATGAAAACGGCGCACGTCCCCCTATAGGTGATAAACCATATCCGCAACAATGGGCATATGTGATATTAAAAGCCACATCCGGGCTGAGCCTTGTGTGTGGAGGCGGCGGGTGTGCTCTGTTAATTCTCTGCGATTGGCATGTTATTGTTAACTTGGGGGGTGGCTCTTGGGTAATGGGCGGGGGCGCGCGGTTTGTGGTTTGCGGTGTGGGGGGAGAGCGTATGTGCGTATGCATGGGTGCCAACATCGAGAAGGATATCGACTTTGTTTGCTAGACCCTTATAAACCGCAGCTTGGAGAGCGGTACTGTAGAAGGCCTGCTTTCTCACAGTTTGGCGGCACTGTAACATGCGGAGGGATAGAGAGACTACCAGAAACTGTACCCAGCTCGCGACAGTTATTTATCATTTTCGACACCCCAACCACTGACAGAATTACCGCAGTTACTATACCAGGCTCGGAAACCTTATCCTGGCTGTAGTAACTGTGTGCGTTTTGGCAATGACAACACTTTGATTTTGAGCTCCAAACGTGAGCTCTTAGTAGCCTATCCCCACCAAAACCGGTCACGAAGGACTACATATTTGGACTCAGAGGGACTCACTTGCCAAAACGCTGTAATATCTAGACTGTATGTTGCTCCATGCATAAACCGGTAATTAGGCGGGTCGGGTGATCCCTCGGTATCCCATTCATGCAGGTGATAATCTTGGCATCCGAGATCTGGCAAGGCTGAAGATAATACCCAAGACCATAGCCCGCCGATTACTAATGTCGGGAGAGATATAAGGCCTTGGAACTAGCGTGGCACGAATCATGGCTCGTGCGGGCTGAGATTGTCGAGGCTCTGTGCTCATAACATCTTAGACTCTCCCTACTGGACTGCATTTGCATTTAGGCTGATCTTCGCGCATAACAAGAGGATTTTAGTAGTATGCATATCAGTCCGGAATCGTTATAAGGTGTAGAGTAGGGGTTTTTAAATGTAGGTACTGTAATCACCCCTAAAAAGATTAGGATTGGCAAGAAGTAAATTATTGTACTCAGCATACTTAATACTTTTGGAACCGGGAATATCAGGTGGTTGGGGTTCAGCATACTCCTCAATGTTGTAAGTTGTAGAATACAGAACCCAGTTCCAAATTTCAACTCCATATACTATCTCAAAACCCTTGCTGAAGTAGACAAACATTCAGGTATAATTCTTATCAACGACAAGATAAAAGGCACTGAACCGCGGGAACTTTAATTTACTAATATACTAGTGTAAGAGCATGCATATTAGTCTCCTCCATACCTTTCTCAACAAGAGTACCAACTTTACTCAAAGGTTAAGAAATATCAAAATCAATGAAAACCTCAATGAAACTCCCAATTTTGCCTTTGAAGATCTTAAATGACTTGTCTTCTATTGCCCTTGAAGGTAGCGAGAATACTTGAAGGCCACAGTTTTGAGGTACATCAGGAAAGGATTAGTAAACTTATATAACGGAGCCTCTGCAAGTGTTTGGTGTATGTATACACAGGACTCGGTTACATTTTGAGAATTATTGAGAGAAGCCAGTTGCACACTGACATGCAAGTACTAGCAGTGTGGTTAGCTGCTAGCTGTCAGAGTAACTACATTCTGAGCGCTAGGAAGAGGATCCATTTATGGGAGTAAAAGAACAGGTACCTTTATAATAGTTTTAAAGTGGTACTGTTACCAATCCGATATCATTTGCTAGTGGGATCATGGCTAGCACCAGTATTTATTCTGATTCAGTATGGTGGGTTGTGTTTTAAAGGTAGTGGTGCACAAATAAGTAATAGAACATATTTCATACCCCTAATAGTTGTTAAAAAACATGGTATCATGTTTTGGATTTTTATCAGATTCTAAAAAACAAATTGTCATATTACAGCAGGAGCAAGATTTAGCATTGGTAGCAACAGACAAGGTTTTGTGTTCGGAAGACAAATTTGAACATATGATTATGCGGATTCGTTCTGGCAAAACCCATTTTTTGATTATGTATTGAGTCCTTCCGGTTTCGAAGGCAACC